TGGTAATTTACTAAGCTTGTTTGTATTTCTGTTTCCTCAAGTAAAAACCGCAGATGGAGGCATTTGTCCCCTTCCTATTTTATGATTATTTTTGAAAACATTGAAACAACCATCCACAATACAAAAACAAATTAATACTGCCAATATGGAAGTCAGTCTGGAGGCTCCTTAGAAAATTAAAAATAGAACTACTGTCTGACCCAGGTCTTCCGTTCCTGGGAATGTGTCTCAAGAACTTCCATAAGCTATCATAGAGACATTTTTCCCAGCCACTTTTATTGCTATTTTATTTATGCCAGCAAGGAAATGGAACCCATCTAGATATCCATCCATAGGATTGATAATAAAAACATTACATATACAAAATGAAACATCCAGCTGCAAAGAAAAATTAAATTATGAAATTTACAGGTAAATGGGTGAACTTGGAAAGTATAGCATTAAGCAAGGTGACCCAAATTCAGAAACATTAAAGCTGCATATTCTTTCTCATATTAAAACAGCTGCAAATGTGGGTAGAGTATAGCATTTAAAAAGGAGACAAAGAATGTGTAGTATTAGGTGACAAGGAAGGATGGAATGAAGGTAAAAGGACACACACACATGAGCCACGAAGAGGAAACAAATAGTCTCATATTGCTCTGTTTCGGCATTTTTAAATATTACTGGTCTTTTGCTTGTATATTATGGTTTCCTATTGTGATTTCATGGTGTGTGTGTGTGTGTGTGTGTGTGTGTGTGTGTGTGTGTGTGTATCTGCATGTGTATTTCTTATGATTTTCTTGTCTTTCCTTTTTTTAATCCATTTTCTAAAAAGAGAAGCAGGGCAAGGGATTGGATAGGTGGGAAGGTAGGGGAGGATCTGGGAGATGAGGGAGAGGAACTGCTGATCAGAATATAATGTATGAAAAGATTATTTTCAATAAAAAGAAAAAAAAACAGCAAAGAAGTTTGGGTCTAGATTAAGAGTAGTGTATAAATAGCATGGAACCCTGTGGGAGAACCTGTGTGCGGCTCCACTTGTTCCTTGTCTGGAAGGGTCATATCCTTGTTTTCATAGTACCATCTTGAAATTCTTAAGCCTTTTAAAACAATGCATCTTACACTTTCATGTTGAACTGGACTCACAAATTGCGCAGCTAGTCCTTTGTGGACATGACCGTCAGATTCCCTCCAATAAAGTGTCAGGAACTGATTAAGGTTTAGAGTGATCACTACTGCTGCTGTTTAGTCAGTCAGTTCAGGGTCAGCACTGAACGGCAGCACGATCATTAGGAAATGCTTGTTCCATGACAGGAGAGAAATTGTGTGGCTTAATTTCAAAACAGTGGCAAAGGCATGGGAAATGTGAATACTTTCTCAAAATATTAAAAATTAATATGCATACAAAAAGATGTTTACAAGGCAACATCTGTGGAATTTGGTGATTGAACGCAGGAAATAAAGAGTTCAAATGTGGACAGCTTTAGTTTTTGTGATTGACTCCCACATTCTCATAATTCCTTCTGCCACAAAGGACTCTTCTGAATCAGTGGTGTTCATCCGTTTTCCTTCCACATGATTAGTTTAGAAACAAATGGACACGTGATCCAACAAGATATACATGGAAAAAGTTTGGGGACTGTATTAATTTCCTAAAGCTACTGTAGCAAATCACCTGAAAGTGGATGGCATAAAATCAGAAATGGATTAGTAGAATCTTTCTGGATTCTGGAATCTGTAAAGGTCTGACATCAACGAGGCTCTGCAGCAGAATTGTGCAAGCTTCTTTCTCTATTCCTGTTGCTGAAATCAATCCTTTACATTCTTTGGCTTGTTAGCTACTGTCCGTGTGTCTGCCTCTATCCTCCTGGTAGCATCTTCTCTGTTAGAATCCCTCTGCTCGCAATGACAGGCAGGCAGCTGGAACAGGGAGCTGAAGGCACACATTTGCTCCACATTCAGGCAGTAGAGAGTAAATTGGAAGTGAGGCAACGCCTGCCCTCATGATGTACTTTCTACAGCATGGGCTCCACTTGCTTCCTAAAGGTTCCATAGCTTCTCCAAACTGAAACACGAAACAAGGATCAAGTATTCAAATACATGAGCCCATAGGTGATATTTTTCATTCAAACCACCACAGAGGTGTTCTAGAAAGATTGCTTGTTCTTGATTGGGAGATGTGGAGAAACGTGGTCACATTTTTCTTCTTTGGACAGTGTTACATTTGGATGCAATGACTGAATCTGTTGCCATTGCCTCCATCTCAGTCTAGAGATGAAGCTAGTATGTGATGGAAGGTAGTTGCATTAAAAACACAGAGAAAAGGAACAAGCGCTAATGAGGAGTAACTTTGTGAGACATGGAAAAAAATCAAAGCCAGTGTTTGGTCAGGATTTGTAGTAATTAAGCCAGTAACACCTCAGGTAACATAAAGACACTCCTATTCCTTATTCATCACATGAGAGGTACTGTTATGAGGGTGTTAATGAAAAGTGGTTCTGGTGCACAGATGTTACAAACAGGCAAATCTGTACCTGTGTTTGCATGTGTGTATGACAGGACATACACACTGATACATACCTTCTGGAAAAATATTATGCTTTTACATAGAAATGACTGATTAAATGACCTTTATACTTTATAAATTATTTTTTTGTTGAACTTGGAAATAGTCTATGGTGCTTATTTGCATCATTGAAAAGTAATTTGTGATTGTGATGACACTTGTATGGTGTGTTGAATATGGAGGTGTTATCAGAACTTCCACAGACAATTCCAGTTTTATGTGATCTGTAGTCAGTCACTTAGCTCTGTGTATGCAACCACTTAATCCATGGTTTCCTAATGCTGCAATCCTTTAATACAGCTCCTCAAGTTGTGGTAACACTCAACCATAAAATTATTTCATTGCTACTTGATAACTGTAATTTTGCTACTGTGATAGATTGTAATGTAAATATCTGATATGTGGCCCCTGAAAGGATCATGACCCACAGGTTGAGAACCACTGCAGTCCTAAGTAAAGAAAAGCAAGAGTTGGTAAGGAATTTGCTGTCATGATCATCAAGGCAAGTAGTGAGACCTTGCCATAGATCTGTGGGAGTGCTGTTAGGGCAGGATAGACATTCAGAGAAAGATTATGCAGTTCTTGAGATATGGTTGGAAAATGGAAATAGAAGGCAAAGGAAGAGCCAAATCAGATGCCAAGCGTTTGAACCCCTCTACAAGTCTCACTTTAACAGGCTGTCAGAACTAATGAGGCACGCTAGCCTGCGAAACTGGTTGAGAACACTTTGTTTGATGTGATGTTTGCACTCTTCTTTGATTTTATTTCCCAGATAGAAAAAATGGGAAATCATTTTTTATTTTATCTTATACGTTAATTTGTGCTATTCTTAGATCCAGATGGGTTGACAATAACTCCTCTTTAATCTTCCATTAACCTGGGAAATAGTTTTCAAAATGTGTTGATCATTTCTACAAGCCAAGCTTCATTCTTGGTTTGAACTGCAGGAGATGGTTTGAAATAAGTCTTCCCTAAATTCTAAATAAAAATTATATGTTTGTAGAAATTAATTGCATATTTAAAACAGATATAGGAATATCAGGTGATAATTACTAGAATTCTTGAGATAATATTTAATGTTAATTTGTATAAAAAAGTTTATTTTTATGAAAATATCATCAAATTTTTTATATACTGCAAACTTGTTTTTACATTACTTTTTTGCATTAAAGTTTACTTGTGAGAAATTGTTAATAGAAAACACAGAAGTCCAGTAAACATAGGTGTACTCTGCAAAATTTCCTCAACTTTTATTGTAGTATAATAGTTACAACACACATTTTATGAACTTAAACATTTTAAGCTAAGAGTTCAGTAGTAGTAGATTCATTTGAAATCCTGCTGAACTATCATGACCATCCATGACCCTAACTCCATTCTTTGCCTTCTGTCTCTATGATTCTGTCCAGCTACCCAGGAAGTGGAATCATATAGTCTGTGTCACTTTGTACCTGGCTTATTTAACAACTTAATATCTTCAAAGTTCATCTGTGTTTTAGAGACGCTAGATGTCCATTCCTGAAGAAGCAGAGTACTATTCCATGTACGAATATATCAGTCTTTCTTCCTCTTTCCTCACTCACTAAATATCTGGGTTGTTTTTTATTTCAGTATGACCATTGCTGTTGCTAACAAATATATACCAATATCTCCTTAAAATTCTCCTCCTAAGTCTTTGATATATACCAACGATGTAGTTTATAGCCATATGTTAACTATGTTTAAAGACATTGATGGAACTTCCACATGCACTACTTTCTAACACCACCAGTTTGCATTCTCACCAGCAGTGAACAATGTCTCCTCATCGTCATCAGTCCTTATTTTCTACTTTTACTTTTTTGATAGTATCTTTGGTTATGAGGTGGTATATACTTTAGAGCTACATTTTATCAAAATTCACTTTGTTGCCACCATAGGAATTTGGTGTACTATTAGCTTCCTGTGTCTTCAGCATCCTTCCTTTGTCTGGTTTTCATCAATAATTTCACAACATTATCCAAATCTGGAAATACTATACTTACTACTGAAAAATAGATACTAAAGATAATAAAAGTGGGTTTTGAGCATCCAAAATATGGTACATTACTTAACACTGTTTTTTTTTGTTGTTGTTGTTCACTACTATTTGTTCAGTCCCCAAGTTCCAGAAATTCCTGTTCGAACCACACTATTATCCATTGCACTAGAAATTCAAAGGGAGACCCTGGGTCTGACAAATATCACAAAAGAAACCATGACAAAATTTGAAGGCTGGCCATATAGGGTTATTATATGTAGCTATTTCCCCCAAGGTGACTAGAAGAATGATAGTACCATCAGCTGAATCAGGAGAAACAGGAAAGTAAGTTGATCTCTTAGGGGTGATGATTAAAAATAAATGTGAACAATGAGGAAATTATAAATAATTTTGCTCTAGCTCTGAGGCTGATACATTCTAGTAGCTGTGCCTATTTATTGCAATTTAATAAAAGCATTGTAGGTTGTTAACGGTTCTTTTCTTCATTGAGACGAAAGACTGATCAGGAAAGTAGGTCTTCCTGGGCAAGTGGTGGCTTCTTGTACCTTTCACCCTCTTCTTTATAAACAGAACTAATAATTGAAAGAAGTCATTTTAGGTAATGATGGTGTTGTCTTTCATAATTGGCAGTTTTAATTAGCCTATTAGGCAGGTTGTTGTCACACACACACACACACACTATTGGGACACATGAGAAGTTCTCCTGTACTGAGATTTGCTCAGCAGATGTGAACTCTTGGGCTCTTCACCAGCACTCACCCATGGTGTCAGCATCCAATTAGACTCAAGCGGCACAGGAGCCTCTTGTCGTCGTCATCAAATGTAAAGTGGTTGGGATAAATCTTCACACAAGAAGAACAGAGATTGGCTAAAAGGAAGATTATCCCCAAATTTAATTCTTTTACCAATTAACAGATGATGCTAAGTTTTGATGAAGCCTTGGGTAAATAATTGAAAATTACAGGGATGTTTTTAAAAAGAGGAAATTATATCAAAAGGCTATGGGTAAGGCTATGACCCAGGTTAATTCTGACTATCAAGGTCATTAGTAGTTGCTCAATAACAAGGACTTTGAAACAAAAAATAGTTTCTGGTTGTATGTAATTATTTACACAAATGTGAGGCATGAAAATGTGAACATATGTGTACTATGAAAACTAGTCTTTTCTATAAAAGTAAAATTTCCATTATATACAAAAAAGCACAAATACCTATGGAGAAATAATATGAATTATTAGTAAAATATGCCTTAGAGAGCTCATGCAGCTTCACTACAATAACATGGCAAGAGGCGGAGTCTCCAGAGTCCATGACATATGACAGGATTGGTTTGGAAGCCTCTCAGAGGCTTCATTAACATTGTATTATGTGAGTGCTTATTTGCACTGTTCCCTTAAGAGTTGGGAATAGTCTGATATGGAAACACCCCGAGACAGTGAAGTTATTATCACAATGATTCTCATTTAATAAAATTCATCAATCAACATTTGAGTTAAACATACTTTACATTTTTCCCTTTACTTTTTAAAATGACAACTTTTATTAAACTTGCTTATTGAAAATATCCTACAAGTGTCTTGTGCATTCTAGTCAATCTTCTTCACCCACTGTCGTAACTCCCACCCACCTTTGCCACATCTGTCCTTCCTTACAAGTCCTTTTCTCACTCACTTTCATGTCTTTTTGTCTTATTCTGTGATTTTAACTAGGGCTGCCATTGTCTCTAGTTATATACCAATATATTTTATACTTTAAAATAACTTGGTGCAGCATTTAAACCTCACTGCTATTTTGTGGTAAATATGTTTAATTTGCTATTGGAAAATGGCCCAAAGAAAATCCCTGTAACTCTGTAATCACATTACTATACTCCCATCTGTTAGCATTCATTCATGCATTCACCAAATATTGTGAGCACCTCTGGGAGAGTAAAGGGCATGGAATAAAATTTGATCTCTAACATTTTCTGGTTAAAACAGAAATTTTTAGTTTATAGTAGTTTATTCAGCAAGCCCTAGGGGTTTATAATTCCTTGTATATATTGATTATTTTCCCTAAACTACTTAGCCATCTTGGATGTAATGGAAGCTTTAACAAAGATTAGAAGTGATGGATGATTTTAGCATTATAGTCAGTATTATTTTTATTACTACATCAGATGTCTATATTTCTTATTCATTATATTTTTTGAATTTCCCACATATTTTAAACAGGCTTTCAAATTGGTATATTTCTTCAAGGATTAACACAATCTAATAGCCTTTTTGTGTTTCTTTGAAGGCTATCATTATGTTGTATTTTGAAAGATACTAGATACTTTGTGATTCCTTTAGGTACAGATGATGATTAAGTATAAATATACACTGATAAGAATATATATTTATTTACCTTAGACATAAATCTATCTTAAAAATAACAAAGCTATGCCAATTGTCTTCAAAACAGGTTTCTAGAATAGCCTAAATTATTTCTTGCTTACATTTATAGTAGATTTGGAAGCAAGCAGGGTAGGATGCAAGGTTATACAGGGGTCTCAACAGTTAAATGTCTCATAAAAAAGGGTTCTTTCTTACACATGTTCTTCTTCACTGCACATTGCACACAGATGACTCTAATCACTGTTACTCAAATCACCTGATGCCTCAATTACCCTGGCTTCAACGAGCACATTCCGCACGCCAGAGCACCCTTATACCTACTGATAATAGGCTGCCAATTAAGTTATCTTTCTCTGGAAACTTATTATGGCAGCTCAGTGAATATAATATCATTAGTGCCCTTATATCATCACTGTCTGGGCCATTGCTGACACGGCATGAATATAACTGCGAAGCTATCAAATAGCTGCTCAGCCATAATGGCCTTGAAACGAAACAGTCTGTTGCTGTGTTCTCTCTTGCATGTATGTGAGGCATGCAAATATGAGTGTACGTACTTATGCATATAGGCAGATATGTCTTCTGAATAAAACTATAGATAAGTAAAGTTGGCACATTATGTAAGGGAAGTACTTTGAAAAATTGCTATCAATTATTAAACTTGCTTCAAAAGCATATTAAACTTCGCCACCACTAAAAATGGCATGAATTGTAGCTGTGGTCAACATTACCAGCATGGGAAGCTCTTCCAGGAAGAATCATAGTGTGAAAAGACACCAAAAGGTTTCCCCCTTGCCCTGGTTTTGTTCCAAAGAGGACCTAAGTACAGAATCATGCTTTTAATTTGGATCTCAAAGATTTTTTTTGACTCAGAGCATTTCCATCATTCGGTTGAAATAATTACATTTTGTTAGAAAGTTGAGCACAAAGATTTCAAATGCTATGTTTTGATATTCCACTATAAATTTGAAGCATCCCAATTCCTTCTTAGTAATTTATCAAATTCATTCTTAGAAAGGAGCTGAGGAACACATCACGAGAACAATTTGTTTACCCCGTGTCTTTTGTTTAGTGCTTAAGGAAAGGATGGCACCAGGCCTTGGGAATGCCTCAGACACTGGCCTTATTGCCTATCTGTGGGCAAATTCCTTGACTGCCATGAATGATTATTCCTTTGTTTTTAGAACAGCTGTTAAAATAAGTACTTGTCTCATAATGTATTGTGAAGATTAAATAACACAATGAATATCAAGCATTTTGCATAGCATCTGGAAAAGAGCAAATATTCAAAAAAGTGATCAGCTTTTTGTCTATGACTATTTATATTTTAAGTTTTCTTTAATTGTTAATATTCTCTAGTTCCTGTTAGTGGCTGTGAAATAAACTGGCCTGAACGGATTTGTTAAACAATTTAGATGAAAGCCCTAATTACAATTGAGTTTTTCTTTTACACATGCTTACTGTTCCCTGAAGAAAGGTGTTTATGTTAGTGAGGAGGGTTGCTTCCCACTCAATATGTGCCTTTGCAATGTTTTATTTGTTGGTTTGTAGACTTCCTTTGAATTACCACTGACTCTGCTCTGTGTTTTCAAATAAAGAGCTGTTTGTCTCTGCATCCTGCTCCTTTGTTCTCTTATGTTATAACAAACAGAGTGAATTTGGAAGTAGAGGGGGAGTGGATGTGGGAGAGAGGGGAGGTGGGGGAGCTAGGATGAGTAGAGGGATGGGAAACTATGGTTGGGATATATTGTATGACAGAAGAATCCATTTTCAATAAAAAATGAATAAATGAATTTAATGTGGAGAAATGATTGTTCTCTGCTGGTCTCTTTTCCACAACCTTTTCAGATCAAATCATTTACTTTCTTTTCTTGGTTTTATCAGTTCGATGTAATCTTGTGGCTTTCAAGATTTATGACGTTTAGTTAACTATTTCGGATTGAGTATCATGATGAGCACACAAGCTTTTCTCTTAAAATTTATATTCTGTATAATGAGATTTTCTAAATGTATCCAACTAAAGCAAGGAAACTTCACAGTAAAAGGAAACACTTAAGAAAATGTCAGTTTTAAAATTGAGTATGGATTCTTTATTTAAAATTATTCTTGTTAATAGTAATATGTTTCATAGCATTTTTCATATAGTTGTGCCATTACACTTTGTTCTAATTAATCTGCCTCTCTGACTCTCTTTTCCTCTCATGTCTATCCCCAGTCCTGACTCCATCCTTCTCCTAAGGTCATCCCCCATGCTTCCTGCCCCATATATTTCCTTAGACTTTCCTATTCCCACTCCTTTGAGATCTCTTCCTCCTTGATCCTGATCGCTTTTTAGTTTGATCTTATACACACGTACTAGACATAGACATAGACACAGACACACAAACAAACACATACACCCTGCACGTTTCATTCTTAGGTTCTGAATATGAGAAAATGGGACATTTGTCTTTTTGAGTCTGGCTTATTTTACTTAACATAATGATTTCTGGTTCTATCAATTGTTCTGCAAATATGATAATTTCATTCTTCTTTATAATTGGATATAATTCCATTGTGTAAGTGCACCACATTTTCTTTCTTTTTTAATCTATGGATAGACATCTAGGTTGGTTTTAGGTCCTATCTATTGTCAATAGACACAAATTCCTAAAAGCTGAGACTTATTTTGTACTGCCATTACCTTAGACAACTAAAGTATAATCAATATTTAAGTATTTAAGATTTTATGGTAGACTCTGAATGCTCTATTTGAACATTTTTCTAAAACATGAGACAATGTATTTCGATGTGGTCTAAGAATACAGGCATGCCAGGCTGCCACATTATTTGTCAAGTAATTATCTTTACTTTGTGCCTTAAAATATGACACATCTCTGCAAAGGCTCACATTCCATTCAGGTAAGTAACAAAAGAGCTGTGCAACCCCGGGTTGTGACCTGCCCTTATCTGAAGAACATTCTGTTCGCTGCAGTTAAACACACTCTGGATTTTATTGGCCCTCCTGCAATCAGCATGGGTGAAACTAGAACGTAGCTAACAAACTAATGAACAGCACACTGGCTTCTGCAAAATTATCATATAAAAAGCATGGTGTGAAAATTCATTATTTTGTAAAAAGAGTGTATTTTGAAACATGTTCTACATGGAAATCAAATACTTACAAGAGGAATCATTGGAAATGGTGTTCAGAAGGAATCATAAGGCATCGTTTTCGCATCAGATTTGGTTTTCGTGCTTTGTGCTCAAGAATTCTCATGAGTAGTACATAACACAGCTCAGACCTCACTAGTCCATTCCTTCTTCTAAACATTTCACTAGTAATAATTCAGGATCCTATACATTTCAGCATTCAGATGTGTGAATGTTATAGGGCATGACAGCTCTAGGTCCAACTAGTGGAATCATGCTTTACCTAATCTTGGTTTATGCCCTGAACTAATAAAAAAAAATAGGTCTTCACTCTGCTGAATTCCCTCACACAGGCTTC